GGGGACAGGACAACTGCACCGCATCAAAGGGACGATGGACAGGGCAATGTGCCATCAAATCCTGGGTGAGAACCTTCTTCCCTCAGCCAGGACATTGAAAATGGGTGGTGGATGGGGGTTCCAGCATGACAATGACCCAAAACACACGGCCAAGGCAACAAAGGAGCGGCTCAAGAAGAAGCACATTAAGGTCCTGGAGTGGCCTAGCCAGTCTCCACACCTTCATCCGATTGAAAATCTGTGGAGGAGCTGAAAGTTCGAGTTGCCAAACGTCAGCCACCAAACCTTAATGACTTGGAGAGGATCTGCCAAGAGGAGTGGGCCAAAATCCTTCCTGAGATGTGTGCAAACCTGGGGGCCAACTCCAGGAAACGTCTGACCTCTGTGATGGCCAACAAGGGATTGGCCACCAAGTACTAAGTCATGTTTTGTGAAGGGATCAAATCCTTCTTTCCCTCATGAACATGCAGATCAGTCATCATTTGTTAGACGCATTTCTGCTGAATTTGTTGTTGTATTCTGTCTCTCAGTGTTACACCGAACATTCCATTGTTAGACCGATCATTTCTGTGTGAGGGGCGAAATTCCATTGTTCCATTTCTGTTGAGGGCGAACATTCCATTGTTAGACTGATCGTTTCTGTGTGAGGGGCGAACATTCCATTGTTAGGCCGATCGTTTTGTGTGAGGGGCGAACATTCCATTGTTCGATGTGTGAGGGGCAAACATTCCATTGTTAGGCCGATCGTTTCTGTGTGAGGGGCGAACATTCCATTGTTAGACCGATCATTTCTGTGTGAGGGGCGAACATTCCATTGTTAGACCGATCATTTCTGTGTGAGGGCGAACATTCAGCATCAGAGGGGAGCAAATACACATTTCCTTTATTGTATGTGTATATATATATATATATATTTTTAACAAGAATGATAGGATAAAGGAAGCGCACAGAACTTTAATAAGGAACACACACACGAGAGAGATCTTTGGAAAAATCTGTCTTTAGTGTCATTTTAAATAAAAGTTTCCCGATGGTCTCTGGGCTCATCGTTTGACGATGACAGGCATTGGTCTATTACGGATAAATCACCTTCAATACAAGAATAAGGAAGAACCAGGGAATGTGTCCGGGGGGGGGGTTGGTAGTTGGGGGGAGTTGGGGGGGGAGGGGCGAGGTGCACTGATGGGGGGGGGTTGTTGGGATGGGGCGTGGTGCACTGATGACGGGTGGACGGGACTCGCTTACATAAATGCAGATGATTGTCTTGCATAGGCCAACGATTCCAAATACTTGTGTATTAGAGGACGGCCCTCGCAGACCAGCCCTCAGCGATTTACATTCATCATTTGGTAAATGGAATCCGGCACCTCAGAGAGCGACCCACAGGGACAGGATATGAAGCTCCACCATTGTTAGGAAAAGCAGCCTGCACCAACCAACACTGCCCTCTAGGGGCAGGATCGCAGAAGTACAGCAAGGTGCCTCTGCTCCCAGGTCCCTGGGGTTAGATGAAGCCACCAGGCCCATGGCAATCAGAGGCCTCCACACAAAATTCCTTGTGATTGTAAATCAGAAATCTTCACACAATTTGGGTTGGTTTTCTGATAACAAAAGAAAATATACAGCTACAGGACTAAGGCCTCATCATACTATCATTCCCCCCCCCCATGATAAATGTGCTGGCATAATATGAGTCAAGTCCAACTAGGTGCATGCCACTTGCGGCCTTATCGCTTTAATTCAGATCTGGCTGTTTTACGGCGCTCCTGGAGGATATCTATTGCTACACTCAGAGAGGACGGAACCTGTGTTCTTACACACAGCATCTCCGCCAGCCCCTCCCCTCTGCTGCCCATTCACAGAAGCCTTTGTATTTTATTAATTCAGAAAATACAATGGCTTCTGTGAATGGGCAACAAAGGAGAAGGGCTGGCACAGCAGTTGCATGCAACTCTGTATCTGAATTTAGGTCGAAAGATTTTATGGCACTCCTGGAGGATAACTATTGCTACACTCAGGAGCTCAGAGAGGACAGCACTGCTCAGCCAAACAGAAGCTTCCTGTGAGTGGCTGAGCAGTGCTGTTCTCTCTGAACCCCTGAGTGTAGCAATAGCTTTCTTCCAGGAGCGCCATAAAACCTTTTGATCTAAATTCAGTTACAAAGGTGCATGCAACTGCTGTGCTGGCCCCTCCCCTTTGATGCCCATTCACAGAAGCCATTATATTTTGTGAATTCATTCCAAAAATACAAAGGCGTCTGTGAATAGGCAGCAGAGGGGGAGGGATGGGCAGAGAAGCAGTGTGCAAGAACATAGGTTCTGTCCTCTCGAGTGTAGCAATAGATATCCTCCATTCACAGGAGGCTTTGTATTCTGTGAATATAAAGCCTCCTGTGCTTGGCTGAGGCAAGTGGATGACACTGCAATCTCCACCTTAGCCAAACAGAAGCTTCCTGTGAGCGGCAAAGGTGGAGATTGCAGTGTCATCCACCTGCCTCAGCCAAGCACAGGAGGCTTTATATTCATTCACAGAATACAAAGCCTCCTGTGAATGGAGGATATCTATTGCTACACTCGAGAGGACAGAGATGTTCTTGCACACTGCTTCTCTGCCCATCCCTCCCCCTCTGCTGCCTATTCACAGACGCCTTTGTATTTTTGGAATGAATTCAGAGAGGACAGAACCTGTGTTCTTACACACTACCTCTCTGCCTCTACCTCCCCTCTGCTGCCTAGTCAAAGATGCCTTGATATTTTATGAATGAGTTCATAAAATACAACGGCTTCTGCAAATGGGCAGAAGAGGGGAGGGGCTGGCACAGCAGTTGCATGCAACTGAATTTAGGTTAAAACAGTTTTATGGCGCTCCTGGGGGATAGTTATTGCTACACTAAGGGGCTCAGAGAGGACAGCGCTGCTCTGCCACTCACAGGAAGCCTTCTCTGTTTGGCTAAAGTGGAGATTGCAGCGTCATCCACCTGCCTCAGCTAATCAAAGGAGCCTTTATATTCATGCACAGAATACAAAGCCTCCTGTGAATGGCTGAGCAACACTCAGCCCAACTCTATTTTGTTCCCAAAGCAGGACGGGGTGTTCTCATGCCGCTGCCAGAACCCGGCGCTATATACTGTATGCAGCTCAAGCAACATAAAGTTAATACAGCGCACAAGGCACACACAGCGGACAATGCGCACACAGCGGACAAGGCGCACACAGCGGACAAGGCGCACACAGCGGACAATGCGCACACAGCGGACAATGCGCACACAGCGGACAAGGCGAGTAACGAAGGTAATAGTTTACTATTAAAATCTGTACTCCAGGAATTCAGCCACTTTGATAAATGTGCGGGCATACTGAGAATTCTGGCCAGCAAGGTGCACGCCCTGCGGACTTCTCTCTTCAATTCACATCTAACAGTTTTATGGAGCTCCCGAAGGATAGCTATTGGTGTAGTTCCGAAGCTCCGATGCTGGACCAAACTAAACGTCACTAAAACATGGAGTTCAGATTTAAAATGCTTGCAAAGGCTCAAGGTTCTACGCATGAAGGTAAGAAAAACCTTCTGTGTGCGGCACTCCCCCCCCCCCCCCCCCCCCCCCCAAGACCCCCCTCTAATACTTATCTGAGCCCCATCCCGATCCAGCGGTGTCCACGAGAGCCAAATCTTTGGCTGAGACATTGGCTCCCGCTGCTGTCAATCACAACCAGTGAGCCAATAAGGAGACAGAAGAGCCGCGGCTGTGTGTGTGAATGGACACACTGAGCAGCGGCTCAGGAGTGCGCCTGCTTGGGCGCCCCCATAGCAAGCTGACCGACAGGAAGAAGGAGCCAGGAGCGCTGGCGGGGGAGGATCCGGGCTGCTCTGTGCAGGGAAGTAGAACATGTTTGCTTTTTTAAAAGCAAACCTTTAGCCCGGGTTCACATACATGCGGTGCGGTATATCACATGCGATTCGCCCAGGAACTGCGCCGATTCACATGCGATTTGACTCGTACATTTTGTACGGCTCAAATCACACCGCACCCAAAAAAGGTGCAAGACCCTTTTTTGGGTCCGCACTAGAATCGGATTGCACGGGAATTCACACCTATGCGATCTGATTCTGCACATGTTAACCCCTTCACGCCGGTGCCTCCCGGCCCTTTAAAATTTTCAGAAGCCAAGAGGCGGGACGGGGGGGTCATGTGACCGTCGTGACGTGTCGTCACGGTGGTCACATGATCGGGAAAGGTCCCGATCGAAAGAGGAGATCAGGACCTTAACGTGAGTACCGGACGTGTGCTGGCCGCGGGCAGGGCGCGCGCTCTCGGCACATATGTCCTTTTTTAATAGAACGCAAAAATGTGCGGCCGCTCGGCGTCTAGGCCCAGATCCCGGGAGGACGCACATTTGCGTTCGGCCGGCGCGAAGAGGTTAACATACACACCCACAGCGGTTCGCACGAACGGGGTGCGATTCTGATGCGGTGAGGAATTCGCACAGAAAACGCTGCGCACCGCATTTGTATGAACCCGGCCTTTAACAATTCCATAAACCGGTACGAGTTCCAACAGACTGAGCGAACGGCGAACATAAAACGATATAATAGACACACACACACATACGGATTCCTAGCTGACAGATTCATCTCACATCTGAAATATAAACTACGGCTGGGTACAAAATAACCGCTTTTTTGTTGAAGTCGCGTTCCTCTGGCAGTGTTACCGTTTTGTGCTGAAGGGGAGTATCTGGCGGAATCACGTTTGATGCGTTTATAGTCTGTCCCCGTCCCGGACGTATTACATAGCGGTCCTAGATATACATTACTACTAGAATTACATCAGATTATTTCCCGATCAAAACTTCAACCAGAGAGTACAAAAATATTACCGATGATGATCTCCGGCGTGGAAACATTCCGCTCACTTATCAAATTCACAGGACTAGAAAAAAAGTTTGATTTTGTCTTTTTGGTTAAAAAAAAAAAAAAAAAAAAAAAAAAAAAAAGGAAGAATCCTAAAAGTTGGACTCGTCTGTTCCTGCTGAATCTTGGATCCAAAGGGATTCTTCTGGAGGGGGCTCCGAGGAAGGGGCGCCGCCGGAGGTGTCCATGAACATGTTGGGGATCTCGCTCCCGAAATAAATCTTGCTGTTGGCCGCGATGGCCTGGAACTTCATGAGCTGCAGGTACTGCGGAGTCAGCTTCAGCTGCGGAGAAAAAAACAAAGATGGAGGATTATTATTGGGGGTTGGGTACAACGACGGGAAAAAAAAAATAACTTGAAGCGGAGCTCAAAAAAAAAAAAAAAAAAAGGGAAGTTCTGCTTTAAGCCTTTGTCCCCCGCTCCCCATTAAGGATTGGCACCTTTGGGGGTGGGGGGATGGGCGGAGTACCCTTCATTTGTGTCAGTGGGGATGGGGGGGGGGATTATGCCCTATCGTTCGTATCAGTGGATGACATGGTGCCCTACAGGCCAGATAAAAACAAGCAGAGGGGCCAGTGGAAGGAATTGTGCCCCATTGTTGGTCTCATTGGGGGAATTGTGCCCCTTCATTGGTGTCATTGGGGAGGGGGGTTATGCCCTATCGTTCGTATCAGTGGATGACTTGGTGCCCCAAGGACCAGATAAAAACAAACAAAGGGGCCAGTGGAAGGAATTGTGCCCCATTGTTGGTGTCATTCGGCCGAATTGTTGGTATCATTGGGAGGAATTGTGCCCCTTCATTGGTGTCAGTGGGGGGGTGGGGATTATGCCCTATCGTTCATATCAGTGGATGACATAGTCCCTTAAGGACCAGATACAAGCAAAAAGCAAGTTTGCTGTCCTTCAGACTTTAGTGTGGCTATTAGAAGTAGAAAAGGTCCCAACATCAGTTGGGAAAAAAAAAAAAAAAACAGTGCCCCAACTTGGGTGTCAGTGGAAGCAATTCTGCCCCTTCATTGGTGTCAGTGAGGAGGGGGGATTATGCCCTATCATTTGTATCAGTGGATGACATGGTGCCCCAAGGGCCAGATAAAAACAAGCAAAGGGGCCAGTGGAAGGAATTGTGCCCCACTGTTGGTGTCATTGGGAGGCATTGTGCCCCTTCATTGGTGTCAGTGAGGAGGGGGATTATGCCCTATGGTCCGTATCAGTGGATAAAATAGTGTCCCAAGGGCCAGATAAAAACAAGCAAAGGGGCCAGTGGAAGGAATTGTGCCCCATTGTTGGTGTCATTGGGAGGAATCGTGGCCCTTCATTGGTGTCAGTGGGGAGGAGGGATTATGCCCCATTGTTGGTGTCATTAGGCCCAATTGTTGGTATCATTGGGAGGAATCGTGGCCCTTCATTGGTGTCAGTGGGGAAGGGGGATTATGCCCCATTGTTGGTGTCATTAGGCCCAATTGTTGGTATCATTGGGAGGAATCGTGGCCCTTCATTGGTGTCAGTGGGGAGGAGGGATTATGCCCCATTGTTGGTGTCATTAGGCCCAATTGTTGGTATCATTGGGAGGAATCGTGGCCCTTCATTGGTGTCAGTGGGGAGGGGGATTATGCCCCATTGTTGGTGTCATTAGGCCCAATTGTTGGTATCATTGGGAGGAATCGTGGCCCTTCATTGGTGTCAGTGGGGAGGAGGGATTATGCCCCATTGTTGGTGTCATTAGGCCCAATTGTTGGTATCATTGGGAGGAATCGTGGCCCTTCATTGGTGTCAGTGGGGAGGGGGGATTATGCCCCATTGTTGGTGTCATTAGGCCCAATTGTTGGTATCATTGGGAGGAATCGTGGCCCTTCATTGGTGTCAGTGAGGAGGGGGGATTATGCCGTATGGTCCGTATCAGTGGATGACATGGTGTCCCAAGGGCCAGATAGAAATGAGCAGAGGGCCACAGTTTGGAGAGCAGTGCTACAGACAGTATATGAGGAGAGTGCAGTGGTACCCGGTTGGCCTCGGCTGTTTTCTGCGAGGTGTAGAATTCGGCGTCAGCTTTTGCCTTCGCTCGGGCCAGGAAAGCAGAATCTGTGGAAGAAGAAGAATGTTACAAAACCGACAACATTTGTGATAAAATGATATCTGAACGACTTTCAGTAAATCGTTTGAAAGGTCGTCTTCTTATCTTGTAGACAAAACAATGGGGATGAGCGATGGTTACAATATCTTCGACTTTCTGGTGCGCATGCTTGTCCGGTGTCAGGGACTCTGAAAGTCCCGAATCCAAAGGATTGCAGATTGGTCGGGTAATCAGGATGTTTATAGGGAAGTAAAGGATTTCATCGCCTACATTTCGCTTATTACAGGTTTACTTTAAATCGCTTCCAGATATACTGCTAGACGGCAGCACCTGTGCGCAAAATCATGTGTATATATATGTGACTTTGCATCTCCGGGTAAAGGGGCGCGTGCACACACCCTACCCGCGCCGCCATTCGTGGCTGTGGATGTCAATCACTGGGTTCCAGCTAGTAGTTACCCGCCGGCGCCCGGTGATTACCGACAGGGAGGAGGACTGTTTTGTTTACTAACAGTCCTCCTCCCCATCAGTTTGGGGACACTGCACAGCACAGCCATCCAGAGCAGTGTGAGTACAGTGAAGCACACAGACCCCGCCCCCTATTAAATCACACCCAGCACACAGTTAACCCTTTGATCATCCCTCACATTAACCCCCTTTCTGCCCAGTGCCATTAGTACAGTATCAGTGATTTTCTTTAGCACTGGTCACTGTACTGGTGTCACTGGGGATGTCAGTGACACCAAGTTAGTTCCCCCCCCCAGTGTCAGAATGCCCGCCGCAGTCCCGCTATAAGTTGTTGATCTCCGCCATTACTAGTAGAAAAAAAAGAAAAAATCCCAGTATCTATACCGCCATTTGTAGACGCTATAACTTTCACGTAAACCAATTAATTTACACGTATCGGGATTTTTTTTTTTTTTTAAATCAAAGACACGGAGCGGAATACATTTTGGCCGAAATTTATGATGAAATTAGATTTTTGCAATTTTTTGTATTGGACATGTTTAATAGCAAAAAGTCAAAAATATTGTTTTTTTTCCCTCTAAATTGTCGGTCTTTTTTTTTTTTTTTTTTTTTTAATAGCGCAAAAAATAAAAAAAATGCAGAGATGATCAAATAGCACCGAAGGAAAGCGCTATTTGTGGGGGGGGAAAAAAAAAAAAAAAAAGGACGTAAATTTCATCTGGGTGCAGCGTTGCACGACTGCGCAACTGTCAGTAAAAGTAATGCAGCCCCGTAACGCAAAAAAACAGCCTGGGCAGTAAGGGGGGGGGGGGATCCTGAGAAGGGCGAGGGGGGGATCCCTCTGGAGGGTGAAGGGGAATTCTCTGGAGGGCGAGGGGTTAAAGTGACTGCAAAAGCTCACCAACAGCTAACCGTTAGCGTTCCTGATTGTGGTGAAGGACATCAGAGAACCCAGACTTGGGGTGAAGGACATCAGAGAACCCAGATTTGGGGTGAAGGACATCAGAGAACCCAGATTTGGGGTGAAGGGCATCAGAGAACCCAGATTTGGGGTGAAGGGCATCAGAGAACCCAGATTTGGGGTGAAGGGCATCAGAGAACCCAGATTTGGGGTGAAGGGCATCAGAGAACCCAGATTTGGGGTGAAGGACATCAGAGAACCCAGATTTGGGGTGAGGGACATCAGAGAACCCAGATTTGGGGTGAGGGACATCAGAGAACCCAGATTTGGGGTGAGGGACATCAGAGAACCCAGATTTGGGGTGAGGGACATCAGAGAACCCAGATTTGGGGTGAGGGACATCAGAGAACCCAGATTTGGGGTGAAGGACATCAGAGAACCCAGATTTGGGGTGAAGGACATCAGAGAACCCAGATTTGGGGTGAAGGACATCAGAGAACCCAGATTTGGGGTGAAGGACATCAGAGAACCCAGATTTGGGGTGAAGGACATCAGAGAACCCAGATTTGGGGTGAAGGACATCAGAGAACCCAGATTTGGGGTGAAGGACATCAGAGAACCCAGATTTGGGGTGAAGGACATCAGAGAACCCAGATTTGGGGTGAAGGACATCAGAGAACCCAGATTTGGGGTAAAGGACATCAGAGAACCCAGATTTGGGGTGAAGGATATCAGAGAACCCAGATTTGGGGTGTAGGACAGATGGGTAACTTTGTAGAACATCAAACATTAGAGAAAGTCTTTGCAGGGATCTGTGTGCTGGAGAGACTCTGAGGTAAGTCTCTGTTGGGAATCAGGCACCGCGCTGTTTTGTTAAGAGTGAGTCCGGGTTCACATACATGCGGTGCGGTACATCACGTGTGATTCGTATAACCGCACCGCATTCCCTGCCAATAACATGTGATATGTGTGCGGTGCGATCGGAATCGTACATTTTGTATGGCTCTAATCGCAATCCGCACCAAAAACACGCAGGGCCCTTTCTTGGGTCCGCACTAGATTCGGATCACATGGGTATTCACACCTATGGGACTGGATTCTGCACATCGCCCCGCGTTTTGCGGACGGCTTTCAGGGTGTTGTTAACTTATCATACACACCCGCAGCAGTTCGCCTGAACGGAGGGCGATTCTGATGCGGTGCGGAATTCGCACAGAAAACGCACCGCGTCAGTGTGAACCCGGCTGAAGATGCAGGTTTAGGTGTCATGACTGGGAGGTAGAAGCTCATTTAAGTTTTATATATTTGAAGGTCGGGGGTTTGAATATACAAACGTTTGTCTCCCCCGGCAGAAAATGGTGACATTGCGGCATTGAGATAGAAGATCTGACGGATCGCGCCAAAAACCTGTCTTGTATTGCAGGATAGAGATGATATGAAGCCATTTATTATCACAGAGTTGTTCGGCTCCTTTATAAATCCTAACAACAGAAATCCCCCAAATGGCCCGGATCAGGCGTCTCCGCCCCCCCCGGGATCAGAAGTCCCCGCCCCCCCCCGGGATCAGAAGTCTCCGCCCGCCCCCCCCGAGATCAGACGTCTCCGCCCCCCCCCCCCCGGGATCAGACGTCTCCCCCCCCCCCCCCCCCGGGATCAGACGTCTCCCCCCCCCCCCCCCCCCCCCCCCGGGATCAGACGTCTCCGCCCCCCCCCCCCCCCCCCCCCCCCCGGATCAGACGTCTCCGCCCCCCCCCCCCCGGGATCAGACGTCTCCGCCCCCCCCCCCCGGGATCAGACGTCTCCGCCCCCCCCCCGGGATCAGACGTCTCCGCCCCCCCCCCGGGATCAGACGTCTCCGCCGCCCCCCCCCCCGGGATCAGACGTCTCCGCCCCCCCCCCCCGGGATCAGACGTCTCCGCCTCCCCCCGGGATCAGACGTCTCCCCCCCCCCCGGGATCAGACGTCTCCGCCCCCCCCCGGGATCAGACGTCTCCGCCCCCCCCCCCCCCGGGATCAGACGTCTCCGCCCCGGCCCCCGGGATCAGACGTCTCCGCCTCCCCTCCCCCCGGGATCAGACGTCTCCGCCCCCCCCCCCCCGGGATCAGACGTCTCCGCCCCCCCCAGGATCAGAAGTCTCCGCCACCCCCAGGATCAGAAGTCTCTGCCCCCCCCAGGATCAGAAGTCTCTGCCCCCCCCAGGATCAGAAGTCTCCCCCCCCCGGGATCAGAAGTCCCCGCCCCCCCCGGGATCAGAAGTCTCCGCCCTCCCCTGGAATGTTTGGCCTTGGTACAGACACACAAGATGACACACACACGGGGTACAATGGCAATTAAAAGGTTAATTCCCCACATTTGTGGCTTCTTAAATTGTAATCAGTGTCTGTGTATAAATAGTCGGTGAGTTTAACCTGCTCAGTGCATCCACATGAGAGCTAACAGATACTGAGCCATGGGGAGCAGAAAAGAACTGGCAAAAGACCTGCGTAACAAGGTAATGGAACTTTAGATAAAAATTGAAAAGGATACCAAGGTCAGATAGACCAAAAAAGATTGCAGCCACAACTGCCAGAAGAATTGTTCGGGATACAAAGAAAACCCCCGCAGGTCACCTCAGGAGGAATACAGGCCGCTCTGGAAAGACGGTGCGGTTGTTTCAAGGAGAACAATACGACGATAATTGAACACAAATGAGCTGCATGGTGGAGTTGCCAGAAAGAAGTCTTTACATCTCCTCTGTGACAAATGAAGCCGAAATGATGATTTTGTCACTTCCAGATTTGGTGCTGCAATTCCCCGTCTCTTGTTGTGTTTGATCAGCTGCTTTGGAGGGCAAGGAAGACAGCGGAGGTCAATACAAGGCTTGACAAATTTGCTTGCAGTCTAACAGCCAGCTAAAATATTAGGAGCCAGGTAGGGACAGGAGGGGGAGGAGTCACAGGAGGGAGTGGGACAGGTGGGGGAGGAGTCACAGGAGGGGGGAGTCACAGGACGGTGGGACGTGGGACGGGGGGGGGGGGGGGGGGGGGGGAGTCACAGGAGGGGGGAGTGGGACAGGTGGAGGGCAGGACAGGTGGGGGGCAGTGTCATAGGAGGGGGGGGGCGAAACAGGTTGGGGGGCAATGTCACAGGAGGGGGGGGGGCAGGACAGGTTGGGGGCAGTGTCACAGAAGGGGGGGGTGGGACAGGTGGGAGGGCAGTGTCACAGAAGGGGGGGTGGGACAGGTGGGGGTCAGTGTCACAGGAGCAGGGGGGGGGGGACAGGTTGGGGGCAGTGTCACAGGAGAGAGGGGGTGGGGACAGGTGGGGGGCAGTGTCACAGGAGGGGAGGGCGAAATAGGTTGGGGGCAGTGTCACAGGAGGGGGGGCAGGAAAGGTGGGGGCAGTGTCATAGGATGGGGGCGAAACAGGTTGGGGGGGGCAATGTCACAGGAGGGGGGGCGGGACAGGTTGGGGCAGTGTCACAGGAGGGGGGCCAGACATGTGGGGGGCAATGTCACAGGAGGGGGGGGCGGAAAAGGTGGGGGGCAGTGTCATAGGAGGGGGGGCGGGACAGGTGGGGGGTACTGTCACAGGAAGGGGGGGGGGGGGTGAAACAGGTTGAGGGCAGTGTCACATGAGGGGGGTGGGACACTGTGTCACAGGAGGGGGGGCGGGACAGGTGGGGGGCAGAATGCCAAATCCTGCACCTCTCAGTGCAGCTGCTGCACCCCCTCATCTTTGCCACCCCTGGTCTCAGCATTCAACAGACTCTGCTGCTAACTGACTCCACCCCTCCTCTGGTCCTCCTCCAGACCCTGCACTTTCTGCTTTCCAGCTCCGCCCCCAAAAGAGGGTGCACATTGATGTCAAGGAGGGTGGGGGATTCTGGACATCTGATGTAATGGGGGGGTGCTCTGGACATCCAGTCTTACAGATACAACTGGCCCTTTGAGGGCAACCATAATGCTGATCCGGCCTGTGATGGAATGGAATTTGACACCCTCATCTAGGGCCTCTACTTTCAGAAAATATAAAATGTTTGGTGGTTCTAAGTAATTTTCTAGCAAAAAATTCTGTTTTTAACGTGTGTGAAAAATCTAAAATTCGCCTTGAACAGCAAGCGATTTCCAGGCTTTAAAAAAAAAAAAAAAAAAAAAAAGTGAACGCATTTTTTTACCTGCAAAAAAACGGGCATTTTTTTTTTTTTTTTTTTTAAGTGAACTTATCCTTTAAGTTTTTTCAATTTTATATATATTATTACATTTTATTTTCTGTCCATTTTTTCTGTGTTACTTAAAAAAAACAAATGTTATTTTAAAATACTGGATTGTATTTTTAAAATTCATATTCCTTTAAATTCATGAATTAAAAAGTTGAATAGAATACAATTCTATAATAAAATATGAAAAAAAAAAAAAAAAAAAAAACCCTTTCCATTTCAGTTTCATTTTTCGGCCAATTGCATCCTGAATTATCAGTTTTGGTGCAGAATTTTCGTTTCGGCGCACCGCTTGTACTATTTTTGTAGCTGTACAGAGGAACAAGTCGCTTTGTTTGCCCCCCCACAGTTTTTTTGTTTCACTCACCTTCAATTTCGGAGATCTTCTTCTCGGTTTCTTTTTCCATCACCTTCTGTCCATATTTGATCTCTGCAACTTGGGCCACTTTCTCTGCCTCTGGAGATCCGGAAAAGGAAAGATAAAAACGACATAATAATCAATAAAGGTCCACGCTGGCTGTATGACAGTATATACACAGAGCCTTGAAAGTCTTCCCCCCCCCTGAAATGTCCCCCATGTTGTCATGTTACAATGTATCCCCCTCCCCCCCTGAAATGTCCCCCATGTTGTCATGTTACAATGTATCCCCCTCCCCCCTGAAATGTCCCCCATGTTGTCATGTTACAATGTATCCCCCCTCCCCCCCTGAAATGTCCCCCATGTTGTCATGTTACAATGTATCCCCCTCCCCCCCTGAAATGTCCCCCATGTTGTCATGTTACAATGTATCCCCCCCTCCCCCTGAAATGTCCCCCATGTTGTCATGTTACAATGTATTCCCCTCCCCCTTGAAATGTCCCCCATGTTGTCATGTTACAATGTATTCCCCTCCCCCCTGAAATGTCCCCCATGTTGTCATGTTACAATGTATTCCCCTCCCCCCTGAAATGTCCCCCATGTTGTCATGTTACAATGTATTCCCCTCCCCCCCTGAAATGTCCCCCATGTTGTCATGTTACAATGTATTACCCCTTCCCCTGAAATGTCCCCCATGTTGTCATGTTACAATGTATCCCCCCTCCCCCCTGAAATGTCCCCCATGTTGTCATGTTACAATGTATCCCCCTCCCCCCCTGAAATGTCCCCCATGTTGTCATGTTACAATGTATCCCCCCTCCCCCCTGAAATTTCCCCCATGTTGTCATGTTACAATGTATTCCCCTCCCCCCTGAAATGTCCCCCATGTTGTCATGTTACAATGTATTCCCCTCCCCCCCTGAAATGTCCCCCATGTTGTCATGTTACAATGTATCCCCCCTGAAATGTCCCCCATGTTGTCATGTTACAATGTATTCCCCTCCCCCCTGAAATGTCCCCCATGTTGTCATGTTACAATGTATCCCCCCTGAAATGTCCCCCATGTTGTCATGTTACAATGTATTCCCCTCCCCCCCCCATGTTGTCATGTTACAATGTATCTATAGGGATTGGATGTGATGGACCGACACAAAGTGGCACATAATTGTGAAGTGGAAGGAGAGTGAGAAATGGTTTCCAACATTTCTGAGCAATAAATCTGTGAAATTTGTATTCGCCCCCCCCCCCCCCCCCGGAGTCAATACTTTGTAGGACCCCCTTTGGCTGCCATTCCAGCTGCAAGTCTTTTTGGGGATGTCTCTTTGCACATCTAGAGAGGGACATTTCTGCCCGTTCTTCTTTGCAGAATCCCTCAAGCTGTCCGATTGGATGGAGAGCGTCTGGGAACAGCAATTCTCAGGTCTGGCCACAGATTCTCCATTGGATTTGGGTCTGGACTGTGACTGGGCCATTCTAACCCATGAAGATGCTTTGATCTAAAGTTCTAAACCAATCAATCACAAGCTGTGTGCTGGAGCTCCCTCCCCTGTCATTTATCTCCTGGGGTCAGGAACACTTGTCAGATGTGACTCATGTCGATAACAGGGGAAGGAGGCAGCAGACAGAAATGACACTTAGTGCTCTGGACTGAGGCAAATACACACTATAGAGGGATGTGCTTTGCTCACATTTCATGTCTGAGGATTACAAACACTTCAAAGTGAATATAAACCTCAATGTGAACTTGTAATGAAATCACAGTGGATTGGGTGACGCACCAATCACAGCCTTCTTCCTCTCAGTCTCCGCCTCCTTCTCCACCACCTTCTGCTTCTGGGCAGCAATCAGCAGTTTGGTCTTCTCACTTTCCCTGTAAATGGAAGACAATGGCAGTCACGCACAGGCACAACACAGGGTAACGGTCTGTCGGTGTCATTTCATCACAAAGTTCGTTCCTTCCCTGAACTGGTCAGAACTCGACATATTTCTGTAAATACAATTTTTTTGCTTGATATTACAAGTGGTAGTCGCAGGAACATTCTACAGACGTCCCGTGTTCTCTGTAAAGGGGAACTCCACTTCTGCGGGGAAAAAAAAAAATAATGTATCTTATATAATTGTGACTCGAGTCACATTGTAACTGAATGTTATGAAAAATGACCTTTCCTTCCCAGTCTGCAGCCGCTGTCATTTTCTGTCAAATTCAAGATGGCTGCCTGGAGGCGTTCTGTACACAGATGGTATATGGAACACCCCCCCCCCCTAAAGAAATGTAATTTCCCGCTTGTGTGATTGGCCCACTGATTTTCCCAGAAGTCTGCACTGAGATACAAGTCAGATTTTTCAGCAACAAAATTATTAATTTTGGTGAAATACTCCCAAGAGGGAAGTCACGCCTAAAGCAAAGCTGTAACGTAACCGACCCCGACTGCGCTACTTCCATTAGACTCCCGCTTCCCCGTCCGAACACCGACCACAGACACCACCGCTGACCATACAAGACTAGACCACACCAATCTTGAAGTAAACCAGGAAATAGACTACTTTATTTTTACACAGATACAAGATATATACATTCAAGGGAACAATCCCCCCTCCCTGCATAATGACACAGGGCGGGGCAATCTACCTTTAGTAACAAGAGACACTCCAACAGACAGTCCCATGAGCAGGGAGGGCTGCTGGAGACACCCCCCACCAAGCCAATACACAAACAACCCATAATAGTTTGCTCCCAAGCTAGACACACAATAGAACAATGGGATGCACCACATCGCATTAAACAATCCTCAACCCCCCACCCCAATAATAGGACAGATCACCCTGTACCCCTAACAGGCACAGGGTGACTTACACATAAGAGGGATATGGGGAGCTGAGACAGGGGTCTCCCCACCCCTCCAAAGTGAGCTGTGTTCCATGGGCCCCCCACCCAAAGTGACCTGGGGTCCAGCGAACAGATTTTCTGTTCTTACACTTCTAATGTGTCATCCCGGTTTTGTTTATCTTTCTTTCTTGCGATTCTGGGCACCCAATTTAAAAAAAAACTGCCTTTTTAAATTCATCTTCATTCAGCCCGGGTTCAAATACATGCCGTGCGGTATATCGCATGTGATTCGTACAGAAACCGCCCCGCATTCCCTGCAGATCACATGTGATTTGTGTGCGGTGCGATCGGACCCGTACATTTTGTATGGCTGTAATCCCACCGCACCAAGAATGTGCAGGAACTTTTTCTTGGGTCCGCACTAGAATCGGATCACACGGGTATTCACACCTATGAGATCAGATTCTGCGCATCGCACCGCGTTTTGCAGACCGATTTCGGGGGGTTGTTAACTTAACATACACACCCGCAGCGGTTCGCACGAACGGGGTGCGCTGCGGAATTCGCACTGAAAACGCTGCAAATTCCACACCGCGTCGGTGTGAACCTGGGCTGAAATTCATGAGATGAATTAAAAAGTGGAATACAATTATACATAATAAAAATATTTTTTGTTCTTGTGTTTAACCGCCTCCCGCCCGCCATATAAGGGAATGACGGGTGCAAGGCGATTCTCTCGTTCTGGGAGGACGTCATATGACGTCCTCCCACTCTAACCGCGCGTGCGTGGCTCTGGGAGCGCGCAGTGCGACGATCGTCAGTGCACTGTGTCCCTCGGACACAGCGGATCAACGGAAAGAGCAAAAGATGTCGGCTCGATCATGTGATCAGCTGTGTCCAATCACAGCTGATCACATGTAAACAGGGAAATGTCAGTTATTGGCATTTCTCTCCTCACGAGCTGTCACGCTGACAGAGGAGAGGAGAGCCGGTAATCGGCATTCCTCAGACGGGACATGTACACTGATCATCAGTGTAGCCCCATCAGTGCCACCTGTCAGTGTCAGCGGCGCTCATCCATGACACCTGCCAGTGCCCATCAGTGCCACATATCAGGTAACACTAAAAGGCAGCTCAGATGGGCACTATCAGTGCCAGTCAGTGCCACCTATCAGTGCTGCCAATCAGTGCCGCCTATGAGTGCCCATCAGTGCCACCTACCAGTGCAGCCTATCAGTGCCCATCTCTGCAGCCTCATTAGCGCACATCAGTGAAGGAGAAAAATCACTTAATTTATAAAAATTTATAACAAAAACTAAGAGAAAATTTTTCAAAATTTTCAGTTGCTTTTGGTTTGTTTAGCAAAAAATAAAAACCCCCCAGAGGTGATGAAATACCACCAAAATCAAGCTCTGTCTCAAAAAACTGATAAAAATTTCATAGGGGTACAGTGTTGCATAACCACACAATTGTCAAAGCGTGGCAGCGCTGAAAGCTGAAAATTGGCCTGGACAGGAAGGGGGTAGAAGTGTCCTGTAGGCAGGAAGGGGGTAGAAGTGCTCGGTAGGCAGGAAGGGGGTAGAAGTGCCCTGTAGGCAGGAAGGGGGTAGAAGTGCTCGGTAGGCAGGAAGGGGGTAGAAGTGCTCGGTAGGCAGGAAGGGGGTAGAAGTGCCCTGTAGGCAGGAAGGGGGTAGAAGTGCTCGGTAGGCAGGAAGGGGGTAGAAGTGCTCGGTAGGCAGGAAGGGGGTAGAAGTGCTCGGTAGGCAGGAAGGGGGTAGAAGTGCCCTGTAGGCAGGAAGGGGTAGAAGTGCCCTGTAGGCAGGAAGGGGGTAGGCAGGAAGGGGGTAGAAGTGCCCTGTAGGCAGGAAGGGGGGTAGAAGTGCCCGGTGGGCAGGAAGGGGGTAGAAGTGCCCCGGTGGGCAGGAAGGGGGTAGAAGTGCCCGGTAGGCAGGAAGGGGGTAGAAGTGCCCGGTAGGCAGGAAGGGGGTAGAAGTGCCCGGTAGGCAGGAAGGGGGTAGAAGTGCCCTGTAGGCAGGAAGGGGGTAGAAGTGCCCTGTAGGCAGGAAGGGGGTAGAAGTGCCCGGTAGGCAGGAAGGGGGTAGAAGTGCCCTGTAGGCAGGAAGGGGGTAGAAGTGCCCTGTAGGCAGGAAGGGGGTAGAAGTGTCAGGAAGGGGGTGTAGAAGTGTCAGGAGGGGGGTAGAAGTGCCCGGTAGGCAGGAAGGGGGTAGTAGAAGTGCCCGGTAGGCAGGAAGGGGGTAGAAGTGCCCGGTAGGCAGGAAGGGGGTAGAAGTGCCCGGTAGGCAGGAAGGGGGTAGAAGTGCCCGGTAGGCAGGAAGGGGGTAGAAGAAGCCCGGTAGGCAGGAAGGGGGTAGAAGTGCCCGGTAGGCAGGAAGGGGGTAGAAGTGCCCGGTAGGCAGGAAGGGGGTAGAAGTGCCCGGTAGGCAGGAAGGGGGTAGAAGTGCCCGGTAGGCAGGAAGGGGGTAGAATGGGCAGGAAGGGGGTAGAAGGCAGGAAGGGGGTAGAAGTGCCCGGTAGGCAGGAAGGGGGTAGAAGTGCCCGGTAGGCAGGAAGGGGGTAGAAGTGCCCGGTAGGCAGGAAGGGGGTAGAAGTGCCCTGTAGGCAGGAAGGGGGTAGAAGTGCCCGGTAGGCAGGAAGGGGGTAGAAGTGCCCGGTAGGCAGGAAGGGGGTAGAAGTGCCCTGTAGGCAGGAAGGGGGTAGAAGTGCCCTGGGACAGGAAGGGGGTAGAAGAAGTGGCAAAGGGGTAGAAGTGCCCGGTAGGCAGGAAGGAGGTAGAAGTGCCCCGGTAGGCAGGAAGGGGGTAGAAGTGCCCGGTAGGCAGGAAGGGGGTAGAGGCAGGAAGGGGGTAGAAGTGCCCGGTAGGCAGGAAGGGGGTAGAAGTGGCAGGAAGGGGGCAGAAGTGCCCGGTAGGCAGGAAGGGGGTAGAGGTGCCCGGTAGGCAGGAAGGGGGTAAGGGGGTAGAAGTGGGGTAGTAGGCAGGAAGGGGGTAGAAGTGCCCGGCAGGAAGGAAGGGGTAGAAGTGCCCGGTAGGCAGGAAGGGGGTAGAGGTGCCTGGTAGGCAGGAAGGGGTAGAAGTGCCCGGTAGGCAGGAAGGGGGTAGAAGTGGCAGGAAGGGGGTAGAAGTAGGCAGGGAAGGGGGTAGAAGTGCCCGGTAGGCAGGAAGGGGGTTAGGGGGCAGAGGCGGCCCCGGTAGGCAGGAAGGGGGTAGAGGCGCCCGGTAGGCAGGAAGGGGGTAGAGGCGCCCGGTAGGCAGGGGGTAGAGGGAAGGGGGTAGAGGCGCCCGGTAGGCAGGAAGGGGGTAGAAGCGCCCGGTAGGCAGGAAGGGGGTAGAAGCGCCCGGTAGGCAGGAAGGGGGTAGAAGCGCCCGGTAGGCAGGAAGGGGGTAGAAGCGCCCGGTAGGCAGGAAGGGGGTAGAAGCGCCCGGTAGGCAGGAAGGAGGTAGAAGCGCCCGGTAGGCAGGAAGGGGGTAGAAGCGCCCGGTAGGCAGGAAGGGGGTAGAAGCGCCCGGTAGGCAGGAAGGGGGTAGAAGCGCCCGGTAGGCAGGAAGGGGGTAGAAGCGCCCGGTAGGCAGGAAGGGGGTAGAAGCGCCCTGTAGGCAGGAAGGGGGTAGAAGTGCCCTGTAGGCAGGAAGGGGGTAGAAGCGCCCTGTAGGCAGGAAGGGGGGTAGAAGTGCCCTGTAGGCAGGAAGGGGGTAGAAGTGCCCTGTAGGCAGGAAGGGGGTAGAAGTGCCCTGTAGGCAGGAAGGGGGTAGAAGTGCCCGGTGGGCGGGAAGGGGGTAGAAGTGCCCTGTAGGCAGGAAGGGGGTAGAAGTGCCCTGTAGGCAAGGGGTTAAATATGCCTTAACTTCTAAATCCGCTTCTAGATCCACTTTCAAATACCGGGGTGGGGAATTCGATCTCCCGGGTATCAGATCTTGTTCCTGTCACGTGTTTTGACAACGTGTTTTTCTACTGATTTGTCCTTTAATCTTTGTAATTTTTTCTATAGCATCATGGGAAACGGCGATAAACATCACCAACAGCAACAACGATATAATTAACAATGCAGCATCTTACATGAGCTCGTAGTTTCTTCGGATCGATTCTGGAATGTTTGGTTTTGTGACTCGGACAGCCTGAAAATAAGCAGAATTCAACAAATTTCCAAATTTGTCCATAAAATAAACCAACTAAAAAAATGTGACCAAATGCACCCAATCAAAAACACATTCTTTAGGCCTGGTTTACCCCTTGGCACCGGCGCCTCCCGGCCCTTTAAGAGTTCCAGAAGCTACTGAGGGGTTGGGGGAGGCGAGGCGGGTTTTAGGGTCATGTGACCGCCGTGATTCGCTGTCACGGCGGTCACATGATCGGGAAAGGTCCTGATCAAAAGAGGAGATCGGGACTTTTCCGTGAGTACCGAACGTGTGTGCTGGGAGCGCTCTCAGCACATATGCTTTTTTTTAACCTCTTGGCGCCGGCCGAACGCAAACGTGCAGCTTCCCGGGTTCTGGGCCTAGACGCCAAGCGGCCGCACATTTCTGTTCTATTAAAAAAAGACATATATGCTGAGAGCGCGTCCTGCACGCTCCCAGGACAGATGTCCTGTACTTACGGAAAGGTCCCAATCTCCTCTTTCGATTGGGACCTTTCCTGATCATGCGACCACATGACCCTAAACCCCGCCCCGCCTCCCGGCTTCTGAAACCCTTAAATGGCCGGGAGGAGCCGGCGCGAAGGGGTTAAATAGAATGCAAATGTGCGACCAACGCAGAGCGACGTGGTGTGCCACATGGGAACACTATAGTGAAAGGCGAGCGGGGACCAGAAAGAGAAGACTGAGCAGCAGAGGATCAGCAGAGATGCAGGACCGGAGCAGGAGAAAGTAGCTATGTCACATGTGGTGCACTGCATGGGAGCAATATAGCGGTAAGTAAGCGGGGACTGGAGAGAGGGGAGGATCAACAAACAAGAGGATTAGCAGAGCTTGGGGTTACTACTGAGCAGGGGGATCAGCAGAGCTGGGGGTTACTACTGAGCAGGGGGATCAGCAGAGCTGGGGGTTAATACTGAGCAGGGGGATCAGCAGAGCTGGGGGTTAATACTGAGCAGGGGGATCAGCAGAGCTGGGGGTTACTACTGAGCAGGGGGATCAGCATAGCTGGGGGTTACTACTGAGCGGGGGATCAGCATAGCTGGGGGTTACTACTGAGCAGGGCTGGCAGGGTGATCAGCAGAGCTGGGGGTTACTACTGAGCGGGGATTGGGGGATTCAGCAGAGCTTGGGGGGTACTACTGAGAGGTTGGGGGATCGCAGAGCTGGGGGTACTATTGGGGGGGTTGGATTATTATCTGCAGAGCTGGGGGTTACTACTGAGGGGGGTCAGTAGATTGGGGTTACTACTGAGGGGGGATCAGTAGAGTTGGGGGTTACTACTGAGGGGGGATCAGCAGAGCTGGGGGGTTACTACTGAGCGGGGGATCAGCAGAGCTGGGGGGTTACTACTGAGCGGGGGATCGGCAGAGCTGGGGGTTACTACTGAGAGGGGGATCGGCAGAGCTGGGGGGGTTACTACTGAGAGGGGGATCGGCAGAGCTGGGGGGTTGCTACTGAGCGGGGGGATCGGCAGAGCTGGGGGGTTGCTACTGAGCAGGGGATCGGCAGAGCTGGGGGGTTGCTACTGAGCAGGGGATCGGCAGAGCTGGGGGGTTGCTACTGAGCGGGGGATCGGCAGAGCTGGGGGGTTACTACTGAGGGGGGGGATCGGCAGAGCTGGGGGGGTTACTACTGAGCGGGGGATCGGCAGAGCTGGGGGGTTACTACTGAGCGGGGGATCGGCAGAGCTGGGGGGGTTACTACTGAGCGGGGGATCGGCAGAGCTGGGGGGTTACTACTGAGCGGGGGATCGGCAGAGCTGGGGGTTACTACTGAGCGGGGCATCGGCAGAGCTGGGGGTTACTACTGAGCAGGGCATCGGCAGAGCTGGGGGTTACTACTGAGCGGGGCATCGGCAGAGCTGGGGGTTACTACTGAGCGGGGGATCGGCAGAGCTGGGGGGTTACTACTGAGTGAGGGACTGGAAGGGGGGATCTGCACACTGATGCAAAGAAACGGGGAGCTGTGCTGTTTAGGCAGGTTGTCTTATGCAAAGAGTGGACTGTTATGTAAGGGGGGATTGATGTAAAGGCGGGGGAGCACTAAGATGTAACAGGGTGCCCTGTAATGTAAAGGGGGGCTATACTGTAAAGGGGGGGGCTTTGATGTGAAAGGGGGCTGTAATGTAGAGGGGGGACAAAATATAAAGGGGAGCAGCTATGTAAAGGGGGACTGATGTAAAAGAGGGCTTTAATGTGACGGGGGGGAGGGACTGTAGTAAAGGGGGGCTGTGATGTGAAGGAGGGGGCTGTGATGTGAAGGGGGGGCTGTGATGTGAAGGAGGGGCTGTGATGTAAGAGATGTGACAAGTTTTCCTGACAAAAAAAAAAAAATGGTGACAGGGGAGGGACCTCTAGCAGAGTGACAGCATCAGCTCTGTTCCTGTGAGCTCTGTGGAGGGGGGGGGGGGGGAGGTGTCTTTTCCCTCCAATCAGCTCTCAGAGCTCTCCTCACTGAACTCTGCCGTGTGTAACTTCAGCTCCCCCACACCCTTTTTTTCTGAACTCTCAGACAAGCTTTATAAAACTCAGCACTTTAAGTGGATATAGAGAAGAGAAGCTACAGATAAACAGGTACAACTTATGTAGGAGGATTTGTTTCATCTCTCTTTATCCTCTTAAGGCAGTGGTCTCCAAACTGTGGCCCTTTGCTTGCCTTCATCTGGCCCTTGAGGCACTATCCCACCACTGTCAATGATGGAGCACCAGTTCCTTACTGACACCATCAACGGGGCACTATTCTTCTTACTGACACCATCAACGGGGCACAATTCTTCTTACTGACACCAACAATGGGGCACAATTCTGCCCATTAAAACCAATGGTGGGCTACTGATGCCGGGGCATTATCTTCTCCCACTGGCCACAGTCCGGCCCCCCTAAAGCCCAGTAAATAGGCCCTTTTGTTAGGCAGTTTGGAGACCCCGCCCTGAGGGGACATGGACGGGTTTACACCACTCTAAGAAGTATTCCAAATCTCTCCGCCATACCTGGATGATCAGTCCGGGGGCCATGGAATTCAGGTCTTGTTGGAGAGCCAGCTTGAGGTTCTCATCTATCTGATCTGTGAAGAGAAAAGGACGTCCAGGTCAGGAGGATCTCCGTCATCTTCCCAGCAAGACGTAACAGAGTGCTTTACAACTCAAACAAGCCTCCCCCCCCCCCCCCTTCCTTGGGTGAGAACCTTCTTCCCTCAGCCAGGACATTGAAAATGGGTGGTGGATGGGTGTTCCAGCATGACAATGACCCAAAACACACGGCCAAGGCAACAAAGGAGCGGCTCAAGAAGAAGCACATTAAGGTCCTGGAGTGGCCTAGCCAGTCTCCAGACCTTCATCCGATTGAAAATCTGTAGAGGGACCTGAAAGTTCGAGTTGCCAAACATCAGCCACCAAACCTTAATGACTTGGAGAGGATCTGCCAAGAGGAGTGGGCCAAAATCCCTCCTGAGATGTGTGCGAACCTGGGGGCCAACTCCAGGAAACGTCTGACCTCTATGATGGCCAACAAGGGATTGGCCACCAAGTACTAAGTCATGTTTTGTGAAGGGGATCAAATCCTTCTTTCCCTCATGAACATGCAGATCAGTCATCATTTGTTAGACGCATTTCTGCTGAATTTGTTGTTGTATTCTGTCTCTCAGTGTTACACCGAACATTCCATTGTTAGACCGATCATTTCTGTGTGCGAGGGGAGAACATTCCATTGTTAGACCGATCATTTGTGTGAGGGGCCAACATTCCATTGTTAGACCGATCATTTCTGTGTGTGAGGGGCCAACATTCCATTGTTAGACCGATCATTTCTGTGTGAGGGCCAACATTCCATTGTTAGACCGATTTCTGTGTGAGGGGCCAACATTCCATTGTTAGACCGATCATTTCTGTGTGAGGGGCCAACATTCCATTGTTAGACCGATCATTTCTGTGTGAGGGGCCAACATTCCATTGTTAGACCGATCATTTCTGTGTGAGGGGCGAACATTCCATTGTTAGACCGATCATTTGTGTGAGGGGCCAACATTCCATTGTTAAACCGATCATTTCTGTGTGTGAGGGGAGAACATTCCATTGTTAGACCGATCATTTCTGTGTGAGGGGCGAACATTCCATTGTTAGACCGATCATTTCTGTGTGAGGGGCGAACATTCCATTGTTAGACCGATCATTTCTGTGTGAGGGGCGAACATTCCATTGTTAGACCGATCATTTCTGTGTGAGGGGCGAACATTCCATTGTTAGACCGATCATTTCTGTGTGAGGGATGAACATTCAGGAGGGGAGGAGGGGGGGGAGGAGAATGGGCGTGGGGGGGGGGGAGGAAGGGGGGGGGGGGGGGAGGAGGAGGGGGGGGGGTTATTCATCTTCAGGCCTAAAATGATTTAAAAAAAGGCAAAACCCGTCTCTGGCGGTGAAAGTGACGCACTGACTCACCGAACAGCTCGATGTAAACTTCCTGCAAGGTGTGGACGCTGCAGAACTGGTTGAGCTCGTGGTGGATCTTGTTGAATATTAAGGCCTTGTCATAGTCGGCGGTTGTAGTTCTTCACTATGTCGTACACTAGGGGGAGCCAATCAGAGAAAGAAGAAAAAAAAAACACAAACATTTCACCAACCGGACGACATCCAAAATGAAATAAATCTTAATGGCGCTTCATATGACGGAAGAACAGATTGGGCTGATGGAAGCAGCTGCTCACCTGCATTGGAAATGAGGAAATTCACCACTTCTATCCGGTCAATGTAGATCATCACTCCACCACTAGGAGGAAGAGACATGGAAAGGATGAGAGGAGCGCAGAGCGGAGGGGCACGGTTGGTCCCAGTCACACTGAGTCAACTTTGAAAATCGTTCGGCTTCCAGTGAAGTCGGATGTCATATTATTATGATACAGGATTTATATGGCGCCAACAGTGTGCGCAGCGCTGTAAAAATGAAGGCAGACATTACAGTTACAATACGGTACAAGAGGACACAGAGGGCCCTGATCCTGGGAGCTTACAATCTAGGAGGAAGGCTTGAGTGATACAAAAGGTAATAGCTGTGGGGGAGGAGCTGATGGATGAAATAAATGGCAGTTTTCTAGGTAGAAGCAGGATAGACTTTCTTTAAACGTTTTTAGGAATCGTCTAAAGGTGGATAGATTAGGAGATAGCCAGAGATTGGGGTAGCCATAGGATGGGAGGAATTTGGGGTATGGGAGAAGGTGACAGGAGGACACTGGGTGGGGGTGAGGGGGGGCAGGGGGGGGGGGGGGGGGGTTTTGGGGGTGGGGGGGGGGGTGGGTGAGGGTAGAGAGGGGTGGAGGACACTGGGGGGAGGTCAGTGGGGGATGGCAGAGAGGGGTGGAGGGGAGTGTAAATTGGTTGCGGAGGATGAGGCGGTATGATTTGGACAGGGATTGGATGTTGGGCCTGAAATGATAGTTCAGAATCCAGGGTTCACCCCAGCACCCTGGCATGCGGGGGATGGGTTGATGTTGGTGCTATTGATTCTGACCGAGAAATCAGGGGAAGAGGCACGTGGGGGAGGTAATATTATGAGCTCAGTTTTGGATAGAATTGAGTTGTAGGAAGTGGAGTGACCTCCAGTCTGATATGTCTGTTAGTAAATCGGTGATACGGGAGGAAACTGAAGGGGTGAGCTGAGGAGCAGAGAGATAGATTTGTGTCATCAGCATAGAGATGGTATTGGAAGACATGGGAAGCTATCAGCTGACCCAAGAAAGAAGTGTAGAGGAGGAGAATAGGAGAGGTCTAAGGACAGAACCATGGGGAACCCCAGCAGTAGGAGGAGTAGGAGAGGTCCAAGGACCGAACCTTGGGGAACCCCGGCAGGAGGAGGAGAGGTCCAAAGACAGAACCTTGGGGAACACCGCATTAGGAGGAGGAGGAGGAGAGGTCCAAGGACAGAACCTTGGACACCCATTAAGGGGAGCACCGCATTAGGAGGAGGGAGGAGGAGGAGGAGGAAGGAGAGGTCCAAGGACAGAACCTTGGGGAACACCGGCATTAGAGGAGGAGGAGGAGGGAGGTCCAAGGACAGAACCTTGGGGAACCCCGGCAGTAGGAGAAGGAGGAGAGGTCCAAGGACAGAACCTTGGGAACCCTGGCAGTAGGAGGAGTAGGAGAGGTCCAAGGACAGAACCTTGGGGAACCCCGGCAGTAGGAGAAGGAGGAGAGGTCAAAGGACAGATCCTTGGGGAACCCCGGCAGTAGGAGGAAGAGGAGAGGTCCAAGGACAGAACCTTGGGGAACACCGGCATTAGGAGGAGGAGGAGGAGAGGTCCAAGGACAGAAGCTTGGGGAACCCTGGCATTAGGAGGAGGAGGAGGAGGAGGAGAGGTCCAAAGGACAGAACCTTGGGGAACCCCGGCAGTAGAGAGGAGGGCCCAAGGACAGAACCTTGGGGAACCCCGGCAGTAGGAGGAGGGAGGAGGAGACAGGCCCAAGGACAGAACCTTGGGGAACCCCGGCAGTAGGAGGAGGAGGAGGAGAGGCCCAAGGACAGAACCTTGGGGAACCCCGGCAGTAGGAGAAGGAGGAGAGGTCCAAGGACAGAACTTTGGGGAACCCTGGCAGTAGGAGGAGGAGGAGAGGAGGAAGTAGAGTTGCGACACCAAAGGTGCGGTGAGATAGGTAAGATTCGAACCAACGGAGAGTCCAGTCACGGAGACCAAGTAAATAGAGCTTTTTGAGGAGAGGAGGTCAACTGTGTCGAAGGCAGCGGAGAGGTCCAAGAGTAAGAGTCCGGAATAGTGACCACTGGTTTCAGCTGTCAGTAAGATATAGACTTGAGGTGACACCTGCCCATGTCTATGCAAGTCGCACCTGCAGGAGTAAATGCACTACTTTAGAAGTCTGTGCGGCTCCGACCAAGTGGGAATCGCACCGATGTGACCGCTTTAATGGCAGACAATAGGGTGCGATTTGCAGCTCACATGGCGAGATGCACCCGGTGTCACTGGGGTGTAATAGAAGTGTATGGGGCTGATGTCATATCCATCTCACCACAGATCACAATTGTTATTCCTCCAATAAACAGTCATAGAGATGCTCCCGGGAGACTTGGGTCATTGGGGGGGTTGGAGGGGTTACTAAAGGCAAACAGACCGAGCGCTACGCAATGGCAGTTGCTGCAGAGCTTAGAAAATGAAGGGGAGCGCCTCAATGTCTATGGGAGACCCTTCGGCACCGAAGCCTATGGGAGACCCTTCGGCACCGAAGCCTATGGGAGACCTTATTGCATCGAAGCCTATGGGAGACCTTATTGCATCGAAGCCTATGGGAGACCTTATTGCATCGAAGCCTATGGGAGACCTTATTGCATCGAAGCCTATGGGAGACCTTATTGCATCGAAGCCTATGGGAGACCTTATTGCATCGAAGCCTATGGGAGACCTTATTGCATCGAAGCCTATGGGAGACCTTATTGCATCGAAGCCTATGGGAGACCTTATTGCATCGAAGCCTATGGGAGACCTTATTGCATCGAAGCCTATGGGAGACCTTATTGCATCGAAGCCTATGGGAGACCTTATTGCATCGAAGCCTATGGGAGACCTTATTGCATCGAAGCCTATGGGAGACCTTATTGCATCGAAGCCTATGGGAGACCTTATTGCATCGAAGCCTATGGGAGACCTTATTGCATCGAAGCCTATGGGAGACCTTATTGCATCGAAGCCTATGGGAGACCTTATTGCATCGAAGTCTATGGGAGACCTTATTGCATCGAAGTCTATGGGAGGCAGTGTGTGAACCCAAGCGCCAGGATGGAATTCCTAGTCGCCATGGCAACCTGGGATTTGCCGAGCCTGGTGTAAACGCATTTTAATGAAAATTTAAAAGAAGAAAAAAAAAAAAGTATGTTTGTAATTTTGTGTCAGGCCGTATTCGTAGCCGTCCTGGGCCTCAGGCTGGACACCCCGGGTGTAGATGGGTACATAAGGCTACAAGCCTTTTCTCATTGTGGAGAGGCATTTTCCTCGGGGCAACTGTCAGAAACCCCAAGCTGGTACACAGGGACCGGGTCACAGTGGCAGTTCTGTTCACACCTTCCCAATGGTACAAACGCTGAACTCCAACTGCCATCTTCTCTAAAGGAAGCCAATGGACGTTGTTGCAGAATTGCTGGTATGACCGCGGCCCGCGTGCCCCAGAGAAGCGATGAGCTGATCTTACCTCGTACCGCAAGGAACATTCTTCACTTCATCTGTTTGTAAAGTGCTCTAAAAAAAAAAAAACCAAACAAAACAAAAAGGATCAATTAAGTTCCAATAATTAGGAGCGGCGATATAATAAGTCATCAACCGATTCTGCAGAGCGAGACGTATTAATGAAGCGCAAAATGTTGATAACACTTTAGAGTTCCATAGTTAGTCTGGCTGAAAAAAGACAAAAGTCCATCCAGTTCAACCATTAAAAAAAAAAAAAAAAAGTTATAATCCTCCACCCACAGTGGATCCAGAAGAAGGCAAGAAAACCCAGCAAAGCACGATCCAATCTCCTCCTGCAGGGGAAACATTCCTTCCTGATCCCCCGAGAGTCTTGGAATACAAAGCAATATCGGTCTCCACAAGCGCAATGGCTCCCACTGCGGCCTCAGCCAACGAGGAGGAGGAGACCTGGGACAGCTGCTGCTCTCATGCACATAGTTAGCACAGGTAAGTTCCACTTGAGGCTTCTCTGCCAGCGATTGGCCTGTGTGGTTGGGCCCTAGAAGCTGGTTCTTGTACAAGGCCTTCATATGACCTGAAACTGGGCTATGAGTGGCCCCCCTAATTATACGAAATACTGAATAAACCGCACATTGACCGAACTGCACAATACTCATATTAACCCCTTCATGCCGGTGCCTCTCGGCCCTTTAAGGGTTTCAGAAACCAGGAGGCGGGGTTTAGGGTCATGTGACCGCCGTGACACGCAGTCACATGATCAGGAAAGGTCCAGATCGAAAGAGGAGATCAGGACCTTTCCGTGAGTACCGGACATGTGTGCTGGGAGCGGGCAGGGCATGAGCTCTCAGCACATATGTTCTTTAATAGAACGCAAATGTGCGGCCGCTCGGCGTCTAGGCCCAGATCCTGGGAGGGCGCACATTTGCGTTCAGCTGGCGTGAAGAGGTTAAAAATACACTATATTGCCCCCAGTATCGGGCCGCTGGCCTTTCCACACACACGACATTTAATGGCCCCCCCAGTCTTAGTCTGTAGGGTTCAATATTGAGTTGGCCCCGCTCCTTTCCACACAGATGACCTTTATTGGCCCCCCAGTCTTAGTCCGTAGGGTTCAATATTGAGTTGGTCCCACCCTTCCCACGCACATGACCTTTAATGGCCCCCCAGTCTTAGTCCGTAGGGTTCAATATTGAGTTGGCCCCGCCCTTCCCACACACATGACCTTTAATGGCCCCCCAGTCTTAGTCCGTAGGGTTCAATATTGAGTTGGTCCCACCCTTCCCACGCACATGACCTTTAATGGCCCCCCAGTCTTAGTCCGTAGGGTTCAATATTGAGTTGGCCCCGCCCTTTCCGCACATGACCTTTAATGGCCTCCCAGTCTTAGTCCGTAGGGTTCATATTGACCTTCCCACACACATGACCTTTAATGGCCCCCCAGTCTTAGTCCGTAGGGTTCAATATTGAGTTGGCCCCGCCCTTTGCAGCTATAACAGCTTCAACTCTTCTGGGAAGGCCGTCCACAAGGTTTAGGAGGGTGTCTATGGGAAGGTTGGACCATTCTTCCAGAAGCACATTTGTCAGGTCAGGCACTGATGTCGGGGGAGGAGGCCTGGCTCGCAGTCTCCGCTCTAATTCATCCCAAAGGTGTTCTATGGGGTTGAGGTCAGGACTCTGTGCAGGACAGTCAAGTCCCTCCACCCCAAACTGGCTCCTCCATGTCTTATGGACCTTGCTTTGTGCACTGGGGGGCAGTCATGTTGGAATAGGAAGGGGCCATCCCAAACTCTTCCCACAAAGTTGGAGCATGAAATTGTCCAAAATGTCACCTTCCCTTCACTGGAACTAGGGGGCCAAGCCCAACCCCTGAAAAACAACCCCACACCATAATCCCCCCTCCACCAAGCTTTACACTTGGCACAATGCAGTCAGGCAAGTACTGTTATCCTGGCCACCACCAAACCCAGACACGTCCATTGCATTGCCAGACAGAGAAGCGTGATTGGTCACTCCAGAGAACACGCCTCCACTGCTCTAGAGTCCAGTGGCGGCGTGCTTTACACCACGGCATCCGATGCTTTGCATTGCACTTGGTGATGGAAGGCTTGGATGCAGCTGCTCGGCCATGGAAACCCATTCCATGAAGCTCTCTACACACTGTTGTTGGGCTCATCTGAAGGCCACACCAAGTTTGGAGGTCTTTAGCTATTGACTCTGCAGACAGTTGGCGACTTCTGCGCACTGTGCGCTTCAGCATGCGCTGACCCCGCCCTGTCATGTGACGTGGCCTACCACTTGGTGGCTGAGTTGCTGTTGTTCCCAGTTGGCTTCCACTTTGTTATAATCCCACTAACAGTTGGTGACTTCTGCAGATGGACGCACCCGGATCCGGATGTACCCAGCTAAGCCTTTATAGAAATCCTTTAACCACTTGAGCTCCAGAGGATTTACCCCCCTTAATGACCACGCCTTTTTTTGCTGTTTGGCGCTGCACTAATTCAAATGATAATTGCGCGGTCATGCAATGCTGCACCCAAACAAAATTTACGTCCTTTTTTTCACACAAAAAGAGCTTTCTTTTGGTGGTATTTGATCACCTGTGCGCTTTTTATTTTTTGCGCTGTAAACAAAAAAACCACAAAAAAAAAACAATATTTTCTACTTTCAGCTATAAAAAATATATCGTAAACTCAAAATTAGTCATAAATTTAAGCCAAAATGTATTCTGCTCCATGTTTTTGGTAAAAAAAATCCTGTGCATTAGCGGGTAAACTGGCGCTATCTAGGAGGGGCGCTAACACTATCGGAAGTCGCCAGTGACACTAATACAGTGATCAGTAAAAATCTGTTCACTGTGATCAGTGACACTGGTGACAGGGCAGTGAAGGGGTTAACTGGGGGGGGGGGGGCGATCAAGGGGTTAAATGGGATTTCTGGTGCACTAGCGGGCAAACTGGCGCTATCTGGGAGGGGCGCTAACACTATCGAAAGTCGCCAGCGACACTGATACAGTGATCAGTAAAAATCGGTTCACTGATCAGTGACACTGGGTGACAGGGCAGTGAAGGGGTTAACTGGAGGGGGGGGGGGGCGATCAAGGGGTTAAACGGGATTACTGGTGTACTGGCGGGCAATCTGGCGCTATCTGGGAGGGGCGCTAACTCTATCGGAAGTCGCCAGCGACACTGATACAGTGATCAGTAAAAATTGGTTCACTGATCAGTGACACTGGGTGACAGGGCAGTGAAGGGGTTAACTGGAAGGGGGGGGGGGCGATCAAGGGGTTAAACGGGATTACTGGTGTACTGGCGGGCAATCTGGCGCTATCTGGGAGGGGCGCTAACTCTATCGGAAGTCGCCAGCGACACTGATCAGTAAAAATCGCTTCACTGATCAGTAACACTGGTGACAGGGCAGTGAAGGGTTAACTGGAGGGGGGGGGGGGGGCGATCAGGGGGTTAAATGTGTCCTAGAGTGTTCTAACTGTAGTGTAGTGCTTGTGTACTCACTGTTTGGATGTCTTCTTCTCTGTCTGGAACGGAATGTGTCCAGGCAGAGAAGAATGACATCATATCCTGCCCTGTGTATGTCAACACAGGATAGGACAGGGACCGATCATGTGATTTCAGCCAGAAATCACTGGCTGAAATCTAATGATTGATCCCTCCTGGATCAAATAGTGTCACCCGCGGGTCGGCGGGAGCGCGCGCCCCCTGCCGGCGAAAGTGTCGGGAGCGCGGAACCCGTTTTTAAACGTGGTTTTGCGCTCCACTGCCGCCCTGCACACGTATATACACAGTGGCAGGGCGGCAAGCGGTTAAAGCAGTCCTGACGAGCCTGGAGTGCGACATCTGAAAAACGCAACTGACTGATCTATAAATTAAGGGCCATTGCGGTGCGGTAAGCGGATTGGCTCGCTCACTTGGTGCGGTGTGGACTTTTTCTGGGACTGGGACAACATTCACACTCTAAGGGTCAGTTCACATTATGGAGATGCGGTCCAGGAGCGTTCCGGACGCATTTTCCCCATTCACGTGTTTGACGCTTTCCAGGGCGGTTTTGATGCTTTGTGAGGTAGTTTTGGCGAATTCCAGTTCATCTTTTGCCATCTGTTTTTCTTCAACCTAAATAAGGATGTGTGTGTTTTTGATGCGTTTTACCGCGTTCCAGTACACGCTGCATTTTTCCTGCACAGAACCTTACTGGAGCTGCGAGCGCTGATGTGAACTATGACACCGACAACCATATCACCGACTTTGTGTGTTTTGGATGCAGAAAAAAAAAGCAACTGAAATGCATGGAGTGTGAACCGACCCTAAGCCCGGGTTCACACTGATGCAGTGCAGAATTCTCAGCATTTTTTGTGCAAATTCCACCCCGCATCAGAATCGCCCCCCATTCATGCAAACTGCTGCGGGCGTGTATGTTAACGCCCTGAAATCGGTCCGCAAAATGCAGTGTGATGTGCAGAATCGGATCCCATAAGTGTGAATACCCATGCGATCCGATGCTAGTGCGGACCAAAAAAAGGGTCCTGCGTGTTTTTGGTGCGGAAGTGGTGCAATTTCCCACATGGAAGAAAAATATATATTTCAAAAATATTCTTCCCAAATATATTGACATATGTGAAACACTACAATTTTGTCCGTATTCAATATATTAAAAAAAAAAAAATTAATAATAATTATATTATATATATATACAGTCAGGTCCATAAATATTGGGACATGGACACAATTCTAACATTTTTGGCTCTATACACCACAATGGATTTGAAATGAAACGAACAAGATGTGCTTTAACTGCAGACTGTCAGCTTTAATTTGAGGGTATTTACATCCAAATCAGGTGAACGGTGTAGGAATTACAACAGTTTGCATATGTGCCTCCCACTTATTAAGGGACCAAAAGTAATGGGACAATTGGCTTCTCAGCTGTTCCATGGCCAGGTGTGTGTTATTCCCTCATTATCCCAATTACAATGAGCAGATAAAAGGTCCAGAGTTCATTTCAAGTGTGCTATTTGCATTTGGAATCTGTTGCTGTCAAATCTCAAGATGAGATCCAAAGAGCTGTCACTATCAGTGAAGCCATCATTAGGCTGAAAAAACAAAACAAACCCATCAGAGAGATAGCAAAAACATTAGGCGTGGCCAAAACAACTGTTTGGAACATTCTTAAAAAGAAGGAACGCATCGGTGAGCTCAGCAACACCAAAAGACCCCGGAAGACCACGGAAAACAACTGTGGTGGATGAGCGAAGAATTCTTTCCCTGGTGAAGAAAACACCCTTCACAACAGTTGGCCAGATCAAGAACACCCTCCAGGAGGTAGGTGTATGTGTGTCAAAGTCACCAATCAAGAGAAGACTTCACCAGAGTGAATACAGAGGGTTCACCACAAGATGGAAACCATTGGTGAGCCTCAAACACAGGAAGGCCAGATTAGAGTTTGCCAAACGACATCTAAAAAAGCCTTCACAGTTCTGGAACAACATCCTATGGACAGAGGAGACCGACATCAACTTGTACCAGAGTGATGGGAAGAGAAGAGTATGGAGAAGGAACTGCTCATGGTCCTCAGCATACCACCTCATCAGTGATCATGGTGGTGGTAGTGTCATGGCGTGGGCATGTATGGCTGCCAATGGAACTGCTTCTCTTGTATTTATTGATGATGTGACTGCTGACAGAAGCAGCCGGATGAATTGTGAAGTGTTTCGGGAATATTATCGGCTCATATTCAGCCAAATGCTTCACAACTCATTGGACGCTTCACAGTGCAGATGGACAATGACCCAAAGCAGACTGCAAAAGACACCAAAGAAGTGGAATGTTCTGCAATGGCCAATCACCTGACCTGAATCCGATGGAGCATTTCACTTGCTGAAGACAAAACTGAAGGGAAAATGCCCCAAGAACAAGCAGGAACTGAAGACAGTTGCAGTAGAGGCCTGGCAGAGCATCACCAGGGATGACACCCAGCGTCTGGTGATGTCTATGCGTTCCACACTTCAGGCTGTCATTGACTGCAAAGGATTTGCAACCAAGTATTAAAAAAGTGAAAGTTTGATTTAGGATTATTATTCTGTCCCATTACTTTTGGTTCCTTAATAAGTGGGAGGCACATATGCAAACTGTTGTAATTCCTACACCGTTCACTCGATTTGGATGTAAATACCCTCAAATTAAAGCTGACAGTCTGCAGTTAAATCACATCTTGTTCGTTTAATTTCAAATCCATTGTGTTGGTGTATAGAGCCAAAAATGTTAGAATTGTGTTGATGTCCCAATATTTATGGACCTGACTGTATATATACACACACAGTGGGGCATAAAAGTATTTAGTCCACCAATTGTACAAGTTCTCCCACTTACAAAGATGAGAGAGGCCTGTAATTGGCATCATAGGGAGACCTCAACTATGAGAGACAAAATGAGAAAACAAATCCAGACAATCACATTGGCTGATCTGGAAAGAATTTATTTGCAAATTATGGTGGACATTCTCCCAATCCTCTTCTGGATCATCCAAATGCTCTCTAGCAAACTTCAGACGGGCCCCGGACATGTACTGGCTTAAGCAGGGGGACACGTCTGGCACTGCAGGATCTGAGTCCCTGGCGGCGTAGTGTGTTACTGATGGTAGCCTTTGTTACGTTGGTCCCAGCTCTCTGCAGGTCATTCACTAGGTCCCCCTGTGTGGTCCTGGGATTTTTGCTCACCGTTCTTGTGATCATTTTGACCCCACGGGGTGAGATCTTGGGAGCCCCAGATCGAGGGAGATTATCAGTGGTCTTGTATGTCTTCCATTTTCTAATTATTGCTCCCACAGTTGATTTGTTCACACCAAGCTGCTTGCCTATTGCAGATTCAGTCTTCCCAGCCTGGTGCAGGTCTACAATTTTGTTTCTGGTGTCCTTCGACAGCTCTTTGGTCTTCACCATAGTGGAGTTTGGAGTGTGACTGTTTGAGGTTGTGGACAGATGTCTTTTATACTGATAACAAGTTCAAACAGGTGCCATTGATACAGGTAATGAGTGCAGGACAGAGGAGCCTCTTAAAGAAGAAGGTACAGGTCTGTGAGAGCCAGAAATCTTGCTTGTTTGTAGGTGACCAAATACTTATTTTCCACCATAATTTGCAAATAAATTCTTTCCAGATCAGCCAATGTGATTGTCTGGATTTGTTCTCTCATTTTGTCTGTCATAGTTGAGGTCTCCCTATGATGCCAATTCCAGGCCTCTCTCATCTTTGTAAGTGGGAGAACTTGTACCATTGGTGGGGACTAAATACTTTTTTGCCCCACTGTATATATACACACACATAACAAAATATATTAGTGGAGATTATATATATATATATATATACATACACATACACACATATTTATATGTTGAAATGCGTTTTTTATAGATTACAAAATATATAAATATTTTTCATATATTTTGTAATAAAAATGCATCAGCATACAGTGTGTATATTATAATTATACAGGATTTTGTAATAAAACCGCATTTCAACATACAGTGTATATCTATCTATCTATCTATCTATATATATATATATATATATATATATATATATATATATATATATATATATATATATATATATATATATCTATATATATCTATATATATATATATATATATATATATATATCTCACACACTGTATGTTGAAATGCATTTTTATTACAAAATATATGAAAAATATTTTTAAAAATACATTTTCAAATATACTGTGTCTTTAAAAATACAAATCTACATTTTTGGAATGCATTTACAGATATATGTAATATTACTTTTTTGATACGTTAAAAATCTGAATATATTTAAAAATAATATAAATTTCACCGCCCCCAAACCCCCCCCCCCACCCCCTTTCCCCCCCCGCCCCGCCCCCCCCCTCCCCCCCCGCCGCTATATATTTTTACATATATTTCTTTTTTTTTTTACATATCAAAAAGTCATTTTAAACATATATATTTTTACATATATTAGTTAAATGCATTCCAAAAATGTAGATTTGTATTTTTAAAAACATTCAGTATATTTTTGAAATGTATTTTTAAAAATAGTATTTTTTTAAAAAATTTTTTCATATATTTTGTAATAAAAATGCATTTCAACATACAGTGTGTACATATAAATATATTGAATACGGCCAAAATTGTAATATTTCACATATATGTCAATATATATTTGGGAAGAATATTTAAAAAACATATTTCAAATATATTTTTCTTCCATGTGGGTTGAGCCATAGAAAATGTACGGCTCCAATTGCACCGCACAGAATTTGCATGTGATTTATAGAGGGCGTGCGGTGCGGTTCCTGTGCGAAACACATGTGACATACCCCCACTGCATGTATGTGAACACGGGCTCAGGGTCCTGTCACACGGGCGTTCCGATTTTTTCATCAGTTCAGTCAGTTTTTTCAAAGAAAATACGGATCAGTTTACATCAGTTTTTACAAACGCAAAAAATTTTGCAAAAACGGACCGTATGTCTGTTTACATCCGTTTTTGTCTGTTTCGGGTTTTTTTTTAAGAAAGAAAAAAAAAAAAAAAAAAAAAAAAAAAAGGTTTTCCTTCTGTTAAAAAAAAAAAAAAAATATGGATATTAACAGACACGGACATTAACGGATGTAAACAGATGAGCATCCGTTTACATCCACTAGTCCATAGAAATACATGGGGGGGGGGGGGTCTGTTTTCCATCTGTAAACGGACAGATGGAACACCTGGGTGAAAGGACCCTAAGGGCTCTTTCACACGGACATTCCGATCGGGGTCCACCTGCCCGTTTTTCAGGCGGACCTGATCGGAACCTCCGTTCTCCTCTATGGAGCGGTGTGTGTGTCCGTTTACACCCGACCTGCCAATAAAAGCGACAGATGGAGGTCCAACTCCCCTTCCGTCCGTCGGACTGGATGAAAACGGACAGGCGGTCCATTTTCATCCGATCGCCCATTGAGAACAGAGCAGCTCTGTGTCCTCTCTGCAGCACACACAGAGCCGTCATCCGCTTGCTCAGCGGGGATCAGCAGAAAGATCCCTCCCCCGCAGAGCCAGCGGGATCCGCCCCCCCCTGTGTGATAGGATCCCAAGCCCTGGTGGGAAGTGAATTCAGTATTCCAGTCATGTAAGGGAAGGATCACGAGCCACGGGCTTCTACAGTTGCAGCTCCTTGAAAAAGTATTCATACCCCTTGAAATGTTCCACACTTTGTCATGTGACCACCAAGGCCCTGTACCCAGCGGATGCAGATCCACCATCACATAGAACAGCAACACGCCAACAACACGCCAGAGCACAGCGTGCCGATACATACCTGTACAGACTTGAAGGAAGTGATAAAGGGCAGCATTAAATGGAATCCGGGACCGCTGGTGGATGTGAGCAAGGCTCCGCCCCTGAAGGAGAAAAGACGATCGTTAGTTCAGCTGCTCGGGGATCAATGCCAATCAGATCGAGGAGGGGAAAGGTGGGGGGGGGGTAGGTTTTTGCTTTGTTTAGTGAATAAATTAAAAATATTATAATATATAAAAAAAACAAGAACACAACACGATCAAGAAAAGGGAAAGGGGGGGGGGGGGGGGGGGCGGGGGGTGTAGGGTTTTTTCTTTTAGTGTCAAAATTTTTGGTATGGAAAAATACTGTTGTAGAATGTGAAATAATGTACAGTCAGGTCCATAAATATTGGGACATGGACACAATTCTAACATTTTTGGCTCTATACACCACCACAATGGATTTGAAATAAAAAAAACAAGATGTGCTTTAACTGCAGACTGTCAGCTTTAATTTGAGGGTATTTACATCCAAATCAGGTGAACGGTGTAGGAATTACAACAGTTTGCATATGTGCCTCCCACTTGTTAAGGGACCAAAAGTAATGGGACAATTGGCTTCTCAGCTGTTCCATGGCCAGGTGTGTGTTATTCCCTCATTATCCCAATTACAATGAGCAGATAAAAGGTCCAGAGTTCATTTCAAGTGTGCTATTTGCATTTGGAATCTGTTGCTGTCAACTCTCAAGATGAGACCCAAAGAGCTGTCACTATCAGTGAAGCCATCATTAGGCTGAAAAAAACAAAACAAACCCATCAGAGAGATAGCAAAAACATTAGGCGTGGCCAAAACAACTGTTTGGAACATTCTTAAAAAGAAGGAACGCACCGGTGAGCTCAGCAACACCAAAAGACCCGGAAGACCACGGAAAACAACTGTGGTGGATGAGCGAAGAATTCTTTCCCTTGTGAAGAAAACACCCTTCACAACAGTTGGCCGGATCAAGAACACTCTCCAGGAGGTAGGTGTATGTGTGTCAAAGTCACCAATCAGGAGAAGACTTCACCAGAGTGAATACAGAGGGTTCACCACAAGATGGAAACCATTGGTGAGCCTCAAACACAGGAAGGCCAGATTAGAGTTTGCCAAACGACATGTAAAAAAGCCTTCACAGTTCTGGAACAACATCCTATGGACAGATGAGACCGACATCAACTTGTACCAGAGTGATGGGAAGAGAAGAGGATGGAGAAGGAACTGCTCATGATCCTAAGCATACCACCTCATCAGTGATCATGGTGGTGGTAGTGTCATGGCGTGGGCATGTATGGCTGCCAATGGAACTGCTTCTCTTGTATTTATTGATGATGTGACTGCTGACAGAAGCAGCCGGATGAATTGTGAAGTGTTTCGGGAATATTATCGGCTCATATTCAGCCAAATGCTTCACAACTCATTGGACGCTTCACAGTGCAGATGGACAATGACCCAAAGCAGACTGCAAAAGCAACCAAAGAAGTGGAATGTTCTGCAATGGCCAAGTCCATCACCTGACCTGAATCCGATTGAGCATTTCACTTGCTGAAGACAAAACTGAAGGGAAAATGCCCCAAGAACAAGCAGGAACTGAAGACAGTTGCAGTAGAGGCCTGGCAGAGCATCACCAGGGATGACACCCAGCGTCTGCTGATGTCTATGCGTTCCACACTTCAGGCTGTAATCGACTGCAAAGGATTTGCAACCAAGTATTAAAAAGTGAAAGTTTGATTTATGATTATTATTCTGTCCCATTACTTTTGGTCCCTTAACAAGTGGGAGACACATATGCAAACTGTTGTCATTCCTACACCGTTCACCTGATTTGGATGTAAATACCCTCAAATTAAAGCTGACAGTCTGCAGTTAAAGCACATCTTGTTCGTTTCATTTCAAATCCATTGTGGTGTATAGAGCCAAAAATGTTAGAATTGTGTCCATGTCCCAATATTTATGGACCTAACTGTATGTTCATTAAAATTAATAAAAAATATAATTTAATAACAAAAAAAAAAAAATCACAGCTGATCGCATGTAAATAGGGAAATGCTGGTTATTGGCATTCCTCTCCTCACGAGCTGTCACACTGACAGAGGAGAGGAGCAGAGAGCCGGTAATGGGCATTCCTCGGAGGGGACATCTACACTGATCATCAGTGTAGACCCAGCAGTGCCACATATCAGTGCCCATCTGAACTGCCTTTCAGTGTTACTTACCAGTGCCAGTCAGTGCCGCCTATCAGTGCCATATATGAGTGCTGCCTTTCAGTTCCCATCAGTGATGCCTGTCAACGCCCATCAGTGCCACCTACCAGTGTAGCTTATCAGTGCAATTTTTTTTAACAAAAACTAAGAAAAACACTTTTTTTTTTTCAAACTTTTCAGTGGTTTTTGGTTTAGCAAAAAAAAAAAAAAAAAATCCTAAGGTGATTAAATACCACCAAAATAAAGCGGTCTCAAAAAAATGATAAAAATTTCTTATGGGTACAGTGTTGCATGACTGCGCAATTGTCAAAGTGTGACAGTGCTGAAAATTGGCCTGGGCAGGAAGGGGGGTAGAAGTGCCCGGTAGGCAAGAAGGGGGTAGAAGTGTCCTGTAGGCAAGAAGGGGGTAGAAGTGTCCTGTAGGCAGGAAAGGGGGTAGAAGTGTCCGGTAGGCAGGAAAGGGGTAGAAGTGTCCGGTAGGCAGGAAGGGGGTAGAAGTGTCCGGTAGGCAGGAAGGGGGTAGAAGTGCCCGGTAGGCAGGAAGGGGGTAGAAGTGCCCGGTAGGCAGGAAGGGGGTAGAAGTGCCCGGTAGGCAGGAAGGGGGTAGAAGTGCCCTGTAGGCAGGAAGGGGGTAGAAGTGCCCTGTAGGCAGGAAGGGGGTAGAAGTGCCCTGTAGGCAGGAAGGGGGTTGAAGTGCCCTGTAGGCAGGAAGGGGGTAGAAGTGTCCTGTAGGCAGGAAGGGGGTAGAAGTGCCCTGTAGGCAGGAAGGGGGTAGAAGTGTCCTGTAGGCAGGAAGGGGGTAGAAGTGCCCGGTAGGCAGGAAGGGGGTAGAAGTGCCCTGTAGGCAGGAAGGGGGTAGAAGTGCCCTGTAGGCAGGAAGGGGGTAGAAGTGCCCGGTAGGCAGGAAGGGGGTAGAAGTGTCCTGTAGGCAGGAAAGGGGTAGAAGTGTCCGGTAGGCAGGAAGGGGGTAGAAGTGTCCCGGTAGGCAGGAAGGGGGTAGAAGTGTCCCGGTAGGCAGGAAGGGGGTAGAAGTGGGTAGGCAGGAAGGGGGTAGAAGTGCCCGGTAGGCAGGAAGGGGGTAGAAGTGCCCTGTAGGCAGGAAGGGGGTAGAAGTGCCCTGTAGGCAGGAAGGGGGTAGAAGTGCCCTGTAGGCAGGAAGGGGGTAGAAGTGCCCTGTAGGCAGGAAGGGGGTAGAAGTGTCCTGTAGGCAGGAAGGGGGTAGAAGTGTCCTGTAGGCAGGAAGGGGGTAGAAGTGCCCTGTAGGCAGGAAGGGGGTAGAAGTGTCCGGTAGGCAGGAAGGGGGTAGAAGTGTCCTGTAGGCAGGAAGGGGGTAGAAGTGCCCTGTAGGCAGGAAGGGGGTAGAAGTGCCCGGTAGGCAGGAAGGGGGTAGAAGTGTCCTGTAGGCAGGAAAGGGGGTAGAAGTGTCCCGGTAGGCAGGAAGGGGGGGTAGAAGTGTCCCGGTAGGCAGGAAGGGGTAGAAGTGCCCGGTAGGCAGGAAGGGGGTAGAAGTGCCCTGTAGGCAGGAAGGGGGTAGAAGTGCCCTGTAGGCAGGAAGGGGGTAGAAGTGCCCTGTAGGCAGGAAGGGGGTAGAAGTGCCCTGTAGGCAGGAAGGGGGTAGAAGTGTCCTGTAGACAGGAAGGGGGTAGAAGTGTCCTGTAGGCAGGAAGGGGGTAGAAGTGTCCTGTAGGCAGGAAGGGGGTAGAAGTGTCCGGTGGGCAGGAAGGGGGTAGAAGTGTCCGGTGTGGGCAGGAAGGGGGTAGAAGTGCCCGGTGGGCAGGAAGGGGGTAGAAGTGTCCTGTAGGCAGGAAGGGGGTAGAAGTGCCCTGTAGGCAGGAAGGGGGTAGAAGTGCCCGGTAGGCAGGAAGGGGGTAGAAGTGTCCTGTAGGCAGGAAGGGGGGTAGAAGTGCCCGGTAGGCGAGGGGTTAAGGCCGGTTCACACCACAGAAACAGTCCTGATACATGCGCAGTTTTGATGCGTTTCAGGTCACTTTTCCCTTGTTTCTTCGATTCATATAGGGACATGTGGGTTCCGGTGCATTTTTGATGCATTTTACCTCCTTCCAGTACAGCTCTGTGCAGGAAAAATGCAGCCGGATCTACTTTTTTTTTTCTGCCCCCGGAACTGCGAGCCCTGATGTGACCGATGATCCCGACCAGCCTATCACCGACTTTGTGTGCGTTTTGGATGCAGGATGAAGCCGTAATGTGCTAGGATGTACTTACCTTCAGCCCGGTTCACACCAACGCAGTCCGGAGTTCTCAGTGTTTTCAGTGTGAATTCTGCACCGCATCAGAATCGCCCCCCCGTACCATGGGAACCGCTGCGGGTGTGAATGTTCAGTGAACACCCGAAATCTGTCCGCAAAACGCAGTGCGATGTGCAGAATCGGATCTCATAGATGTGATATCTCGGATACGAATCGCACTGAAAACGCACGTAGTGAGAACTGGTCCTGAAAAGCGTTTCTTGGTTTGTGGAGCTCACAGGCAGCTGTAAGGAATCCTCAGCTCCTTTCTATCACCGAATCACGTTCTCGCTCCCCAACTGTCTGGGGTTAGTTACAGGTAACTGAAGCCGCTTTCTGCCATTATGCGGCTTCCACACTAAATCCTGCGATCTATAGGGGGTGGTGTCGCAGCCACCGACCCACAGAGGAGATCCATTACAGCCTGCGCAGCCACCGACCCACAGAGGAGATCCATTACAGCCTGCGTAGCCACCGACCCACAGAGGAGATCCGTTACAGCCTGCGCAGCCACCGACTCACAGAGGAGATCCATTACAGCCAACGCAGTCACCGACCCACAGAGGAGATCCATTGCAGCCTGCGCAGCCACCGACCCACAGAGGAGATCCATTACAGCCTGCGCAGCCACCGACCCACAGAGGAGATCCATTACAGCCTGCGTAGCCACCGACCCACAGAGGAGATCCATTACAGCCTGCGTAGCCACCGACCCACAGAGGAGATCCGTTACAGCCTGCGTAGCCACCGACCCACAGAGGAGATCCATTACAGCCAACACAGCCACCGACCCACAGAGGAGATCCATTACAGGCAACGCAGCCACCGACCCACAGAGGAGATCCATTAAAAGGCACGCGCAGCCACCGACCCACAGAGGAGATCCATTACAGCCAGCGCAGCCACCGACCCACAGAGGAGATCCATTACAGCCAGCGCAGCCACCAACCCACAGAGGAGATCCATTACAGCCAGCGCAGCCACCAACCTACAGAGGAGATCCACTACAGCCAGCGCAGTCACCGACCCACAGAGGAGATCCATTAAAAGGCAACGCAGCCACCGACCCACAGAGGAGATCCATTACAGCCAGCGACCGACCCACAGAGGAGATCCATTACAGCCTGCGCAGCCACCGACCCACAGAGGAGATCCATTACAGCCAGCGCAGCCACCGACCTACAGAGGAGATCCATTACAGCCTGCGCAGCCACCAACTCACAGAGGAGATCCATTACAGCCAACGCAGTCACCGACCCACAGAGGAGATCCATTACAGCCAACACAGCCACCGACCCACAGAGGAGATCCATTACAGGCAACGCAGCCACCGACCCACAGAGGAGATCCATTAAAAGGCAACGCAGCCACCGACCCACAGAGGAGATCCATTACAGCCAGCGCAGCCACCGACCCACAGAGGAGATCCATTACAGCCAGCGCAGCCACCAACCTACAGAGGAGATCCATTACAGCCAGCGCAGCCACCAACCTACAGAGGAGATCCACTACAGCCAGCGCAGTCACCGACCCACAGAGGAGATCCATTACAGCCTGCGCAGCCCACAGTGCGGGTGAATGAGGAGAAAACACGGCCTTGTGCCAATTCCCCCACACACTGGAATGATCACTCCGAGGAATCTGCAGGTTCTTTGGGGACATCGCTGTTCTTACCTTCTGTTTGAGGACATAAATGGAGGCAAACATCGTCCTCCAATCACTGTGGAGCCAAGAGGAACCCGAGCCAACATCCTGCAGGATCCGGAAAATTTGTCTTCTCCATGACACCTACCTGTTATTTATCTAAAACAATGCCCTGAGGGTCAGGGAGTGACGGGAAGGTGCAATATATATGTCAAGTGCGGCACACATGGACGGGGATAGAGATATATATATATAATCTAAAATTAAAAAAATAAATAATAATATATATATAAAATTCAACTTTTTAATGAATCTCATGAATTTAAATGAATATGAATTTATTTTAATTAAATAAATAAATGGCACGGAAGATATAACAAATTTACTGGGATTATGTCCTCAAAATTTTACATAAAACAGATCTCACTGCGAGGAAATCTGCGGCGGGGCAACAAAATCAAAATTCTTCGAACGAAAATTCCAGATGCATTTGACCAAAAATCAAAAAGGACAGTTTTTATTTAATTTCTAATATATATATATATTTTTTTTTATTATATTCAACTTTTTAATGAATCTCTTGTATTTAAATAATTATGAATTTATTTTACAATAAATAAATAAAATGAACGTTACGGAGGATACGACGAGTTTACTGGAATTATGTCCTCGAGGAAATCTGCGGCGGTGCAACTAAATCAAAATTCTTGGACCGAAAATTCCAGATGCATTTGACCAAAATTTGAAAAGGACAGTTTTAAAAAAGAAAAAAAAAAAAAATATATATATATATATATATATATATATATATATATATATATATATATATATAAAAAAATATAACTTTTTACTGAATCTCATGAACTTAAATGAATATGAATTTATTTTAATTAAATAAATAAAATGCACGTCACGGAGGATACAACAAATTTACTGGGATTATGTTCTCAAAAACTTACATAAAACAGATCTCACTGCAAGGAAACCTGCGACGGTGCGACAAAATCAAAATTCTTGGACCGAAAATACCGGATGTATTTGGCCGAAAACTGACAGTTTTATATATATATATATATATATATATATATATATTTATTATAGTAAATGTTTTAATGAATCTCATGAATTTAAATTCATATGAATTTATTTTAACTAAATAAATCAATAAAAATGCACATCACAGAGAATACGACGAACTTACTGGGATAATGTCCTCGAAATCTTACATAAAACAGATCTCACTGCGAG